ATCTTAGAATCCTTGCCAAAGCCTGGAGATGACACTCTGGGCTTTTCGAAGTTCGTCTGATACTTCCAGTTGGGTAAGCCCACGTTCCAGACGGCCGATAATTCTACCACATAAAAAATCATCCAAATACGTCCTTTGCATCATAACTATTCGGTTGCACTGAAATGCTTATAAAGCGCCTGCGAATAATTTTACTTCTTTGGCTGTATTCCTTATATATCACTCTCTTACACTCTCATCATTGTGACGTACCATCGGTGTCATCTGGTTACTTCCTTTGCATATGATTCTTGAAGATGTGTGTAGTGATTTTACAGGTGATATATTTATTTTAGAGTTCGATTTCTGCATGACTCAATTATCCTTAATTTATGGACATGAGTGTAGAAAGTGTTCTTTGACTGCAAAACAGTTACATAAATATAATAAGTTTCAGAAACTATATTTACTATGATTTAGGGCTTTAAAATTTTAATATTTATTACAAAGATTTCAGGAGGCATCTTGGCATTGAAACAATGGAATACTAATCCTGAATTCTTAAAAAGTCCTCCAACGAAGGCATCCCTCCTTTTAGGCAAGATAGCCCTAGTATGCTTTACATTAGTCAAATAAGCCAAAAGCATACTGGTTGCTGTAAAAAAAAAAAATATTGTATTTATCTTAAATAATTTCGACTGCAAACGTTATATTTGTTACTATGGAAAGAATTTATTTTTGTGTAAAATTCTGAATGCTTGAATTTTTTATAATGCACAGAAACAGAAATAACAAGAAACTAAAAAAATATTCTTAATTTACAGGGATATATAAACAATATAATCATTGTTAAATAGATTTTTAATAAGAATATTTTGGAAAAAATAAATGATTAATGTATACTTCTACGTCGTACTTCCTAAGAAGTTTGTTTTAATTGAAAACGATGAAACATTCTTGAGTCATCTGACTAAGAAGTGGAATGCTTTCGTGGAAGATTCTGAAAGGAAATTTGACTCATAATTGTATTTCACACAGAGAAATCCTAAAAAGTTCCTATGTAGCCAGGATGTACGCCATGATTCGAATCCGTATCGAAGGACCAGATTTTGTGGTCTTATCCAGTCGGTCATCAGAAGATACAGTTTCATAGAAAACTACAGGAATCAAGACATTAAAGAATTTGCTATTACATTGCATCAGGCTAAAAATTTGCATGTCACATAAATTTAAAAATTCTAACATAGCACGCAAAGTCACATTTTCCTAAATAGATATGGGCTAGCCAATGGTTGAGTGGTAATATCGTTGAACACTGGTAGTTCGACCCGGACTCATGTTCTGGCAAACAGGTTGATTGCATGGACGCTTCCGTTGGTTTTCCTCCTGTGTAATGTCAATACCAGCCAGTTTACCTTGGGAAGTTCTCCACGAAGACATACTTTCATTAGTAAGCTAACACTTTCTTGCTTTGCCGTAATCAAATAAACTAAAACTAAAAGTGTCATATGTTTTGCCACCTTTTTAAAGGAAGTTTCACATTCATCCTCCCTAACAGTAATGAGATAATTTTACTTGTTCGCATATGCCATATTGGCATATTTTACATGTTCAAATATTCAAAAGGATAATTATAACTCTATTTTGGCTGATTATAGAATAGCTAGAAATGGATAATAGAATAGATGGAAAAAGATGATAGAAATAGATCTTTACGTAGAACTTGTGCAGTTGCTATATTGTTTTTTAACTGACTGCTTATAAATACATTTAGATAACATAACTTTAAGGATATCAAATTTATGTATAGAAATATTGCTTTAGATGAATTTTAGATTGAATATTACAAAAAATATTTTTCAGAAAGACAATTTAAGGCGGAAATTATTGTGCGATATTCATTTTAAAACAATACTTTTCTCCTTAAAATTATAAGGTAATTTCTCTCTCCTTTCTGCATGCCTTCGTGGTGTAATGTAGCGCATTTGGTGTATATTCGGGAGGTTCGAGTCCCGGCTAGGGCTTTGCTAATTTTTTATGTGTCTCCACAAATAACCTAATGTTCTACAGTGACGTCCAAACTAAAAAAAAAGGGATGGATGATGATTCTTCACTACCAGGATTTGGCAATTGGGTCTCCTAATCTCCAGTCGGCTTTTAAAATGCAGAATATATAAGGTATTTTCTAACTTCTCACTGCATCCTTCATGGTGTAATAGTAGCACCCTCAGCGCGTATTCGAGAGGTCCAGGTTCGAATCCCGGTGAGGGCATTGCTCATTTTTCACGTCCTTAGCATCAAAAAAACCGAATCACTCTACAAATTGTCTTTCTGAAAACAACATCTGGTTTCATATATAATATTTTACCAAAGGGATTTAAAGAAAATTTAATCACTCATTTTTTAAATTTTGCTTTAAAAAAAGTGTATTTAATATGTTTCTCTTCAAGGTAAGCTATTTAGATTACTTCTTATCTTTCTTGTAAAATTTTTATAAAGAATAAAGCTCATATATTTGAGATAGTTTGATATTCAAACCATATATTTATTTATTTTGAAACATCTTAAAAAAATCTAATGCGGACACCACATGACTTCCTTGTACGCCAAATAAATTAAATGCAATTTTTGCTAAAATCATTTTCGTTTGAAAACGAGATATGATGTTCCATTTCAAAATGCCTCTTTGGAACTGCTTATTGCAATAGAAAAGGGAGGTGCACAATTAAATGTTATACCAAACCCATACACAAAATTTCAACATTCTACGATTAACCGTTTTTGAGTTATGCGATATGCATGCATACATACGTACATACGGACATACCAGTCGCGCTAAAACTAGTCATAAGTCCCAAATATAAAATTTTAACATTTTATGTTGAAGTTATGCAACATACGTACATGTAAACGTCATGATGGAACTAATCAAAATGGAAATTTCCCCTGAAATATGAAAATCGAAATTTTTCGCGATTACAATACTTTATTTCTCACAAATCAAAAACGTCATAAATAACTAACTACTAATAAATTTATGATGCAATCTTAAGAATTATTTAAATCTAATACTTTAAACTGGAATAAACTTAGAATATTTGAAAATTAAATATAAACATAATATTAAAATAAGTTGCGAATAATTTGTATTCGAAAAATTGGAACACGAGAGAAAAAAATTCTCACAAATTCCCTTTGTATATTAAAAAGTATTTTCTCAGAAAATAATGATAAAAAATGCAAGATTAATTTTTCACCATTATCGAAGCAATTCCTTAAAGAAACTGGAAATTTAAAGCATTTTACGTAGTTTCTCTTACTGATGTATATTGACTAACTTTCTGTATTCGGCACATATCTTGATTAAGGTACGAGTAACATACAGCATATGCGTTAGTATGCAAATTTTAAAGTAGCCAAATAGGAGATAAAATACCATTTTAGCAACCACTCCTGTGACGAAGATACCATAGGAAGAAAAACTGATTTCACTCCCTAAATTCAACGGAGGAGAGAATTAGCTTAATTATATCCACACGGTAATGGAGCCCCACTTTTGAAGTAGTTTGAGTCAAAATACTTGCTGTTTTTGCAACAGACCTGGTAAGTACACTCGATTATTTTTTATGCGGTTTCTTGAAAAAGCCGTAACGCTCAGGGGGTTAATCGAGATTAGTCATTACTATATTTTCAGATAAAGCTCTCTGAGAAAAATTCAAAGACACAGACTGTTTGTAATCTATTAATTCTTTCTTCTTATTTATAAAGAAGTCTATTCACTTGTTAACGTAATTCCGATATTTTAATACTAACTGCTTTCGAAGGTCTTATAAATTCATTCAATAAGGCCGTATAACAAATAACACACAATGGTTTTTTTCATCAGCACCCTCCAAGAAACCAAATTTTATGTAGTTTTCTTCTTTTTTATGTGTAATGGACAATACCTCATGCAGCTATTTGTTAGTGTTGCTTTTGGAACCTGTTCTTGGCTGAAAATTACTTAACTATTATTAGTATCATCAATAAAACCTATGTGGGCATTATTTGATTGTTTATTCATCATAATCAGCACACTATATGTTTTTGTTTTGTTAACCATTCATCTATTGAAAATTAGATGCAATATGTGATAATTAATAGCAAATAACTACAAAAAACGTATGTAATATCTGATTATTTATTAATAACTAATAAATATCACTGACTGTGCAAATAAAGCTGCTTCACAACCTAATGTATATTAGATTATAGCAGCAGACCCTAGAAATGTCTGCTCTAGCCTAGACTTGCATTGTCATTCTTGCACAAAACATTAGATGGGCCTGCTGCCGTATTCCAGTCAAGACTATAATCACATTTTACTGCCCATAAATAAAAATAGGAACTAAGAAATAAATTAATAAGAGATAAGTTTTATATCTCATATATGAAGACACTAAATTACTAAATCTTGACGCTATCTAGTAATACATTGACAAAATATAATATAGTTTTACTTTACTATAACACATAAGGTTAGTAATTTTGTTAAGTTTATTTGTGATCCGGCACTTTACTTCTGGTTTCCCAAATGCCGATAAACCACAGATGGTAAAGTTCTGTACATGAAGGGCTAAATTAAGATATATGTTAATGCCACAGGTTGTTAATACACTGCTGGCCTTTAAGATTGAATTATCATGAAGGAAATACTTGAAATTTATTGATATATAAAACGTGACATTAAAAACAAAATAAGTGGTGAGAATGATTTTAATCCTAAAATTTAAACATATAACTAATGCTGATAGTTTAAAACTTCAATGGCCATTAGAAACAATCTTTTTAATGAATCCTTAGAGTATCACTGCAATAAAAGTCAAGTGCATCTTATACTTAATGTTTACTAAGATTTATAATAGGAATGTGATATAATATTCAAATGATATTTTATATAAAGTTTTTAGCACAGAAAAATTCATCAACAAACAATTTATTTTAATGTAAAAGAACAATAATAATAATAATAAAACAAAGACCTTTTACGTTTTCGAAAGTTACGTTGCCTTGCAGACTGTCGACACGCAACTGGAGGATCAATTTTAACAAATATCTAGGAAACAAAACGGATGCAATGAAAAATAGAGACATAAATCTATGCTTGAAAACATTTAATAAAATATAAAAGACAATAAACTGAAACAATTAAATCTTCGTAAATTAATACATTGTCATAAGTTGAAACTTAAATACAACTTGAGATGTGCCTTTGACAGCTATTGTCAACTAGTTATTCTGCTACACTTCCTTGCTACTGAATTAATGTAATGGCTTTAGCTTTGCTAGCCCTTTTGCTTTATGAATATTTTGGGAAAAACAATATCTTATTTGTATATGTGTTACTTTTGTTTTGTTAATTTGGCTCCGTAGCTGCATATCTCCTTTTCCAATTAATGGATTTTGCAAAGAAATGTGGAGAAGTGGTAATAAATGAAGACGATATAATGAAAGTTTTTCATTGTGATGGCAATGTTACAATCATCAATCAATTAACAGACGGTAAAATCTGCAGTATGGTTCTAGATCCAAAAAATACCGTTCCCGATAGTGAAGAAAGTGACAAGAGGTTATTGAAAACGAAAAAATTTTGATTTACAAGTTAGTCGGAATTCTCGACGTTGCAACTAGAGACTTGAACAGAGGAACTTTGTAATTGAACAAGAAAATGTGTCGTCTATAGAATTGAAGAGAAAGCCCAAAAAATAAAACAACTTAAACAATTTACATTTAAGAAATATTAAATAAGGTAAAAAATAAATATAAAGTGTTTTTTTTGGTAAATTTTGATACCCTTTGGATCATACATAATTCATTATTTCATAAATCACAATTTCATATTTTAAATTTTATAATTTCTACATGCCATCTTACTAGATTTAAACTGATGATCTAATATCCGGAAAAATCCCAAATCTGGAATCATCGAAGTCCCGACAAGTCCGGATCTTGGATTTTGCACTGTATTTAATATTTTTATTTGGCTGGAATACTGTTCTGCATTTCCTGCAAGTAGTGGCTATTAAGTTTATGTTACAGCATAATTTGTGTAACTATCAGCTGATGTGTTAACCCCTTCGCGCCGACTGTCACGTCTACGTGCCAGCAACGAACACACTCACCTACCGACCTACACACAGGCGTGACAGAGCATTTTCCCGTTTACTACCTACTGTCCCGTATTTGTGCCAGCGTCCTGGAATGTTTTTCAAACTATAATTTCTGCCACAAGATGGCACTGTATGTCCATACGGTTTCAGATACATGTACATTAGACCTTCTACTCGAAATGAGAGAAGCATGACTCACATACACGTGTTTTTGATTATATAAACAAACGGGGAACTAAATGTTTCCGAATGGCGTGATTTATGACGTCTCTTTAAATCGCACGTGGTAGTTGTTTATTGTAAGTAAAAGCTTTATATGTGGTAAAGCGTTGAGTATTTTGGTTTACAGTTCAGTTTTTAGAAAATAATTATATCTTGTTAGACGTGAATTCTTTCTGTTTTTACCGTTGCAATGTCGAAGCGTCGAAAATGTTTAACAGAGCATGAATAGCGAAATGATGCAAAATATTTCAGATATTGATTCTGAAAGATTAACTGAAAGACATTTTCCAAAAACTTTGTTCAGAAGAGACTGATAAGAAAATGAGACGATGATGCTTCGTTTGTTCACATTTCCGGAAAAATCCTCCAAAACGGCAAATGAGTTATTACGAGTTCAAGGAATGTACGTAGGACTGTGTGTAGATCCCTGTTTTCCAATTTTTTCATACGAAAGAGAATTTTAAGTAATATATTTAGTTTTCAAATGTATAATGTTAAAAGTCAAAAATGGTGAGTAATTAAAATAAAATGTGTAAAATATGCATTTAAACAAGAAATAAGGTAATTAAAGTATATACCAGGTGATCAAAAAGTCAGTATAAATTTGAAAACTTAATAAATCACGGAATAATGTAGATAGAGAGGTAAAAATTGACACACATACTTAGAATAACATGGGGTTTTATTAGAAAAGCAATAATCTGATCAGAAAAGCAATAATTAGCATAATAAATTAAGACAAAGCAAAGATGATGTTCTTTACAGGAAATGCTCAATATGTTCACCATCAATTCCTCAACAATAGCTGTAGTCGAGGAATAATGTTGTGAACAGCATTGTAAAGCATGTCCGGAGTTATCGTGAGGCATTGGCGTAGGATGTTGTCTTTCAGCATCCCTAGAGATGTCGGTCGATCACGATACACTTGCGACTTCAGGTAACCTCAAAACCAAAAAACCAATAATCGCACGGACTGAGGTCTGGGAACCTGGGAGGCCAAGCATGACGAAAGTGGCAGCTGAGCACACGAGCATCATCAAACGATGCACGCAAAAGATCTTTCACGCGTCTAGCAACATGGGGTGGAGCGCCATCCTGCATAAAAATCATAACATTTTTTGAACTTTTTTTTGGTTCTAATAAAACTCCATGTCATTCTAAGTAAGTGTGTCAATTTTTACCTCTCTATCTACATTATTCCGTGATTTATTAAGTTTTCAAATTTATACTGACTTTTTGATCACCCGGTATATAAAAATATTTATAAAGCAAAAGCCGTTTAAATACTCTATAGAGCATTATTAAACAATGCGTTGATACTTCGGAAATTTCACAGATTTAGGCTTAGTAGCAAAAAAGCCCCCGGCCCTGGAGAGACGCTCACGAAGACACTGCCGGCCTCCGCGATAAGTGCGCGTTTTTGCTACCCGGCTCGAAGGGGTTAATAAACAGTTTTATTTTAAATCTTCATTCAAGTTTTTGTTTACTGTACTTGGAGGGTACAATGGGACGGTAGGTTGAGTCTATCTTTACAGTTCAAGTAGCATTTTAAAACAACACAAAACCAAACCTTATAGGATGTCACTCATCATTACAAAAAAAAAAAAAAAAAAAAAAAAAAAAAAAAACCCTTTTGAACATTGAAGGAGTTGCTTTGCACAATGATGCAAAAATAAAACATTAAAATTTACAGACCATAGATGTACTACAAGAAAATGATTCAAAGTGCCAATGACAGTTTTTGTGTTAGCATTGTAGGCTTTTGGTGATAGGAAAACCTTGAAAGCATGATGCTTAGAAAAAAGACTAATTGTAAACCATGAAAGCCATTGGAACTATTTCAAGAAGATCTATAAAAATGATATGAAGAATTTTTAGCCAAAAAGTGAAAGATTCCATACTTGATTGATGAATGTACTGAACACACAGACGTTGAAACCTTAAAATGAATTGTTTTCTATCCCCAAATACAGCGCTGATCATGTAACCTGTGACCAAGGAGTGATCAGAAGCTTGAAATGTTGTTATAGGAAGAAGCTTGTTTTAAGCAATTTGGAAAAGTAAAACAAGCATGTAGAATATAATGTTTTACTTCTTGCACTAGTAAAGAGTCCTGTGTCTTGTTATAAAATTAACCATTTAAACTTCTGGCCCACATGTCTAACAAAGGGCACTGAAAAGAAAGATGAAGATTTACTTATCACTAGAATAAAATGGCATTTTAACATTTTCAGAATGTGATACGGGGCTTTTCAAACACATGATGATGATGTTATAACACGAATAGATACGAGTGAAAATTTGAACACAAAATGTTGATGCAAAAGATTCGTTTGATGTTAATGAAAACTTTGAAAAAACTCAGCATACAAAAATGGAAACTCTTTACTACAGCAAATGCTAAAGCTGTCAGAAATATTATTAATGAAATTTTATTCACACAAACTACAGAACCAAGATGATAGAATCTTTTCAAGTTTAAAAAAAAAATATGAATAAAATTTTTCTGCAAACTGCATCATGCCAGCAGAAATTAAAAAGATTTTTGAACTCAGAGTAAAGTAAAAATTAAAAATAAATTCACCAATAATTTCTGCTATTCATTTTTAGTGTTTATATATATATATATATATATTTGGATAAAATGATTATCTATTATTATAAATGAGTACTTTTCTAATAAGTAAATAATAAAAAATAGGTATGCAAATAATTTAATTGTAACTAACCCTTTAATCTAACATTTTGATGTTTTAAAAAATGAGTTATTATTCACTTCTGATAGATATGAAAATGCAACCAGTTTTTTAGTTCATGAATCATTTTTGACACAGTTTTGTGAGATAATCTATTTTCTTTATTGGATCAGATATATATACAGTCAAAAGTCGTTAATCCGGACTCGTCGGGACTTCGGCGATTCCAGATTATAGATCATCGGTTTAAATCTCGTAAGATGGCATGCAGAAATTCTAAAATTAAAAATATGAAACCGTAATTTATGAAATAAAGAACAATTATGATCTAAAGGGTATCCAAATTTACAAATAAAAGCTTAATATTTATTTGTTTACTTTATTAAACATTTCTCTCAATGTAAGTTGTTTAAGGGACTTCATTTTATGTGATATACTTTCTCTTAATTCTAATAAAAAGACCTAATTTCTTGTTCAGTTACAAAGTTCCGCCGTTCAAGTCCCGTTAATTGCTGTGCCGAGAATACCGACTAACTTGTCAATCGAAATTTTTTCGTTTTCACTAACCTCTCTGTCACATTCTTCATGCTTTATCCATTTTTTGCAGCAATTCCACTTTTTGTTTGTTGGACATCGAAACATACTTTCGTTTTGTAGATCCTTTGGAAGTTCCAGCATCGGAAATTCTATTTGACGTAATCGAAAGTTCAAGTTTACTTTTATAAAATTGCTCTTACAGTCTGCAAAAAATAATAAGCGGGATCCAATTCGAAGATTAAGGAACAATGCAATCATTAACATTAACTGAAATAGATAATTAGATAATTTTAGCTTACACCGTCCGTTATACATAAAACGCGCAGGCGAAAACGTATTCTGCACTTAAGCACACGCATATGCGCAGTAGTCAAGGTCTTACGCGCACGCGTAAAACGCCTGTGCGCATGTGCCGACGCAGCACATGTGCAGAAAGTTTTTAGCTTTGAGGTCCGGATTATAGATCATTCCGGATTATGGGTGTCCGAATTAACAACTTTTGACTGTATATATATAAACAAATTTTGAGTCTCTCGACACAATTTTTATATAAATGCCATCAAATATTTAGAAAACCATAGCCAAATAAAAAGAATATCATAAAAGTTCGAGGCAGATAGACTTTTTTTCTGAAAATCAAAAAAATAATAAAATTACTTCCTAAATAAATCATTTAGGAAAATACCTACACATTTATTTTTCAACGACCATATAAGAATTTATGTTATGATACATGTTTTTACAAATAAAATATTTAGGGTTAATTTATTTTACTGCAAAAACAAATTATATTTTTTACTTCATCTGGTAAATCCTCTATATTTGCTTTTCTAGGAGCTGGTTTTTGAGTGTTGGTGGTTGTCTTTGCTGCTGAGTTGACACTGCCACCAAATGTTGGTTTCATATTTTGCATGCCTGTTGTTGAATTTTTTGCTGGTGATTTGACATCATTAACAGATGCAGGTATAGCAAAATGTATTTTTGCAGAAGGTGTATTAGAAATAGGATCGCTCTCCTGCAACATAAACAAAGAAATAATAATAATTTACATACTTGAATAATGCGATAAACATTATGCACATTGCTCATATCAGAAGATCAGGAACATAATATCAGAATTGATTATGTTCCTGATTAATATCAGATATGATAATTCATTTCAGAAGAACTGGTAACTCTTTGGCAGGTGCCAAAGCTTTAATCATTACCCTCTTACTACAGCAACTCGCAGTAATAGCCAGAAACAGTATCTTCTTTTTGTGCTGCCATTTACAAAAGCAATGAAAGGCATTTCTTTCATAAGTGACACACATTTTCAGTATCACTGCAGCATTTCAGAGATTAATTTTTAAATTAGTGGCTACCTTTTCTTAAGAAAACTTGTTTATAAAATCTTATTTGCAAAGAAAATGGACAATGAATGAAGCAACTTCTTTTTGTGTATTATTACAGACAATGCCCATACTGCAGATGCATAAGTAGTTATCTTTTCAATAATTAATTTATATATAATTTTTATAATATGAAAATTTATTCCCCAGTTGTCACCTCTAATTTTTAACGTTACTTAATAAAACATTTTGCTGCTTATTCTTATAACATGTGTAAACTGACTAAATTCAGAGCTGGAAATCATTTAGTAGATTTACAACTTAATATATATTTTATAAAATCATTACCTTTGTGTTCACAAACATAATAAAATTATTATTTATTTCAAAACTCGAGCCTTTTATAATCATCTTTTAAATTCTTTTTTTTATTTTTAGATTCAGTTAATTTGCTAAATCAACTTTCATTTCTGTACCACAATTTCAGCAATAAATTCACAAATGAAATAAGGTGTATGAAAAATCTGGATGCTATAATAACAGATTATCATGAAAATCTGACCTTGTAAACATTACACTAGATGTGCTGATTCATCTCTGCATTTCCATGGAAGAAGGCTAGGCTGGAAGGAACATCTCTAAACAATTGCCATGCCTTTTTCTTTTCCATGGAACCATGTGAAAAGCTTAACTGCCGACATGCATGTAGAACAGATGAAAATTCACTGTTTTACAGCATCTCCCCAGCAAGATAAATTTTTAGGGAAGAGGAAGTCAGGATAGTTCAGCTCATTCAAGCTCAGTATTTGTCACAGTGACACAAATGCAATACAATGCCCTAGAATTCTCCAGCTTACCAATCCTGAAGTAAGAATTTAAAATTAAACATTTCTAACTCTAGCTAACTATCAATTTTATCTGGTCCAGTCCCAGACATGAGGAATTTGCTTTGTCTTAGTCATGCAATATAGCTTTTCTAAACGTAGCTTGTTGTAAAGGATACTTTAGAAATTTTAGAAAACACACATTTTGCAATAGATACTATATAAGGTATTTCTTCCATCTTCTTAGCATGCCTTCGCGGTGTAGTAGTCAGCACGCTCAATGAGTATTCGAGTGGTCCGTGGTTCGATTCCCGTTGAGGGCATTGCTCATTTTTCTTCTCTTCTACTTTCGAAATAACCTAATGTCTCTACAACTAAATTCAATGGTGAAAACTACTTTTGTTTAACATTAACATCATACATGGTACGACAGTCTACGGTGAGCCAAGGCCTTCTGAACTAGACATTTCTAACCACCTTTACTAATAGCCAAACTCCTCCAATTCTTAGTTTTAAGGGCTAAACAATTCCCTTCTAGAGCATCTATCCAACTAGGTCTTCCTCTTCTTGTGTTACTTGGTCTGGCTGACAAATTTTTTTTAGTATATTATTGTCGTTCATATGGATTACATGCTCAGCCAATTGAACTTTAACATTATACTAGCACATTAAACATTTTACACAATAAAATAAAAGTGCTTAAAAACTTATTCAAATAATTAAGTCTGTTGACTTCTTAGTAATGATTTAATTGATTATTTTCTGCTCTCTCTATGTGGCAAAATGTGTCAAGTCTGGGTGGTTTGATCTTGTAGTTGGAAAGCTAGATACATACCGACCACCTTACCAACCTCTGATTTACACCTGAATAAGAATTGAGCTATGCGAGAGGTATGTGAGAGATTTAGCCTTTTGTTTGAGATACCTGGAAACCTTCAAATTTGTAGCTATCTTCATAAAGCTTAGTTAGTGCTCTAGTGCTAGTGTTATCATGAGATTGGCAACTAAAGATGCATCATTCTGCTAAATTTTCTCTTGCCTCTATAACACACTGATGAAGTAAAGCCCGAGTTACATTAGTTCAGTTATTTATTATACTTAGGCCTATTTCCCACACATACTTAAGGCTTCTATGGGTCCCAAATAAATAAATTACCACATATGCTTATTCAAGGTTGGTGCTAAACAATTTGTAGCCCGGTACAACTTCTGAAAGTGCTAAATTCTAGTGCCATAAGCCTCCCTAAATTCTAAAAATTTTGCATCCCAGTGCTCTCCCCCCCAAAAAAAGTCTGAATATTTTGCCAATCCTTAATTTTGTTGCTCGTCTCTAATTTTTACAAATTTTGCCTTCCCTAAATCCTACCACCCACTAGCTCTGGGATGGTCCTAGCCTTATAACTAGTCAGTTAGTCTCAATGCAAACAGCACTAAATGTAATCTTTTGCCATTTGAGCCTTATTTAAAATAAATTTTTCCCATGGAAGGAGATTTGTGTTAAATCTGTCCTCTTCAGCACTTTGCAATGCACTTAGCTGAAGTCTGCAATCATCCCCAAGCATAATGTTAACATAAAGGCTACCAAGCTCTTTAGTATTCAATTACTGATATTTAGGGGGGGGAATATTCAGAAATTGCTGCATAAAACATTCCTCAAGCTGATTTGTGCAGATAGATATCCTGTGATAAAAGCAAAGAATAATAACTTGCTGGGTTGGTGTCAGGGATATAAATTATTTAATAGGTGTAAAAATCAATGAAGCTCCAATGCAGAATGTTTTGGTTTGAGATGTATGTGAAGCAGAAAGGCAACTAAAGGGCCAAATTATTAATTAATACAGATAAATGATTGTTTCTTCAATATGGTGGTATTTTATTTAGTACCTAAGTGAAATAAAAGAATTGTGACTCTCCACATGTTTTATTATGAAAATATATCAAATTTGCACAAGTAAAGTATTCAAAAAATTTCTAAGAGAACAATGGAGGATCGCTGATAAGGTGGAGGTCAGGATTTTAAATGTCCAGTTTCTGGACTTCATTACAGTTAGAAAATACAGGTATTTATACTTTAATGTGATCTTATTAATCAATAATCAGCCTATATCATAGATAATGAATAAGTAAATTTTGCAGTTTGATTCACATACAGTTTCAAAGTAAATCTTAACTCAATGCCTCACTTTCCCTTCATGAAGCCTCAAGATTAGTAAGCTGTCATGTTCTGTAATGCTTCTCTGTAGGGATTTTTGCTGTCGCTCCATCAGAAATTTAACTGTTGAGTTCAGCTGATGATGATTTGGCAATCCTTCTGGTACTGGTATACCTTAAATGTCGAATTACTTGTTTTTCGCAGTTGGACTCCTAGTGGTGAACTAATTGCTATTTTGAAACACTCACACTGTCATCTCAATTACAAGATTTTCATCAAGTGGCTCTCTCAAAGCACTGGCACTGTCATATTTAAAAATCTTTATACAGTCTTCAAGTGGTTAGTGAGACCTGTAACCTATATCATTGCTACCATTTATATAAGTCTATAATATCACAGACTAGCACAAAAACTGTGAAGTTAAAGGCATAAAAACCTTTAATTCTAAACTAAAATACAAACGAAAAACTACTTACAATCAATTTTATCAAAGAAACACCATTTAACATATTGTCTGTCTCATGCAACTTCCAGGAACTTGTTTCCATCTGAAGAAGAGAAATTTCTCTATTGTCCAATATGTGTGCCCCTTTTATGCCCACAGCATATTGGAATGTGCATATCTGACCTTATGACATAACACTAGACATGCTGATTTGTCTCTTAGGGGAAAAGGCTTGGTTGTAAGGAACATTCTTGCAACAGGCCATATAATGTATTTTTTCTTTCTTTCTTTCTTTCTTTCTTTTTTCTTTTTTTCTTTTTTTTTTTTTTTTTTTGTTTTAAATAAAACTACTTGGAAAATATAAGCTTAACTGCCGACCTGCATGCAGAACACATGAAAATATGCTGTTCTTACAATGCATAGAAAATTATGGGTACTTACGTGTTAGCCTTTTGATCCTGTAAGTTGATTATCATAGAACCATGACAGACAGCAGAGTTCCTGCCAATCATTCCTGAGGAATTCTAAAGGAACTGGCACCTCTTTATTAAAAACACAATCACTGTATTCCATTTAGCATTTTGTAAAAATGCTTTTCTCCTTTCTACTATTTTGTTAGCCTCTCCAATTTTATTGAAAGCTTTGTTTAGAATGTTACGAATACACACTTATAATTACTCTAATCAATACCACAGATAATTACTCTAATCTCCTACTGCTTTGGGGGTCATATTAAGTTGAATTAATCAGACCACATTGTGTGAATTAATACAATTTTTTATAGTGTTATTCCATAACTTTGAAAAATATTCAATGCTTGCTTACCATTTTTTTTAATGTAAAAAAAAAAATACAGCAACAATTTACATTCTTGTTCAAAAAAGTGGCTCATCAACAAACAATCGAAAGCAAATCTACATCAAATGAAAAAGCAGATTTTGCGTATGCGCTTATCCATAAATGGCACCAAATCATGCTGCTTGGTATAAATGTCATGGCTAATGAGATAATACATAAGTAACAAATTATGCAGTACCTAAAACAGTGTTTATCCACTCTTTTAAAATATGATATATATTTTAAAATATAATAAACACTACCAACATCTATTAGCAAGCTTAAATACATAATCATACACTTATACTTAATACATGCCCCCCAATCAATTTTACTCAATTTTACTAAACTTCAAGATTATTAAATCTGTCAAATGTTCTTTTTAAAACACCCATTTCTAACTAAATCTCACAAGACCTCATTTTG